AGGAATGCTTCACAACGGGATGAAGCTGGCAGTGAAGAAACTCAGCACACAGCACGGACAAAAGGAGTTTGTAACAGAAGTCTCGGCTCTGGGAAACATAAGCCACATCAACATTGTCAAACTCTATGGCTTCTGTGCCGATGCTTCACACAGGCTGCTCGTCTACGAGCTCATGCCCAATGGTTCCTTGGACAGATGGATTTTCTCCGACAACAAGGACAAACTGGACTGGAAACTTCGACACAGCATTGCCCTCGACACTGCTCGAGGACTGGCCTACTTGCACGAGGAATCCAGAGACTCGATCATCCACTTGGATATCAAGCCACAAAACATCCTCCTGGGTGACAAGTTTGAGGCCAAAGTCGCAGACTTTGGCATGGCGAAGCTACTCATGGACAGAGATCAAAATGGAGTGGTCACTGGAGTGAGAGGAACTCCAGGATATCTAGCTCCAGAGTGGCTGCTACACTCAACAGCGACCAAGAAATGCGACGTCTACAGCTATGGAATGGTGCTCCTGGAGCTCATTGGCGGCAGGAAAAATCTAGACTGCTCCAAGATGGAGTCGCCACTGAGCTGGTACTTCCCAGCCTGGGCCATGAGCGAAATCCGGAAAGGGAACACGATGCAAGTGGTGGATCCGAGCGTCAAGGACTCGGCAGACACAAGGCAGGCAAAGAATATGATCCACATCGCATTCTGGTGCACGCAAGATGATCCAGCAGCTAGACCGACAATGGATGCAGTAGTGCGAATGCTGGAGAGCGAGGAGGAGATCGAGGAGCCGCCGCTTACCTTCCAGTTCGATGTCCAAGCGCCTGGAATCCTCACCATCACCTCGAGCGGCGACATCGCGACATTCACATACATCACCAAAAACCCTTTAGCCCATGAGCCCTAAAATTCAAATACTAATTGAGTTTTTGCATCTTTTACTAAGAAAATTAGTCAGGACAGAAAAAGCGTCTAAGTGCAAGTTGCCTTTGCTGGTTTTTTTTTCCAATCTCTAGCCACGACATTCCAGTCTTGAAAAGAACCTCCAAATCTGATAAAAAAAACTAGGAGATTAAAAAAAACACTTTTGTGCATAACTCTTATTTGAGAACGTTCCGAATTTAACAGATACATTAGTGAACCAGCTCGCACAAATTCTCCTGGGATCGCTCGGCTTGTTGGCATGCAAACTTGGCTCCAACCGAATAAGATTTCCGCAAAAAAGTC